AGGAGACCCTCCTTAGGAGGCTGTCACCTGTTGGTGTAACTTTACAGGGAGCCTCATCAGGAAGCTTTGCCTGTCACTGGAAGCCTACTGGGGCCCTGCTGGTTGCCAGCTCCAGGCCTTCAGCCCCCAGGGCTGAAGCAGAGAATGTCATGGAGATCTCTGGAAGTTAGGGATTCCGTGACTTCCATCACCTCCCTGACATAAACAGTCTTGATAATGGCCAATGGCTCTGTAATCACATCAGCCAACTGCCTCAGCATCCTTGGATGCATTGCATCTGGCCCCATGAAATTGTGCATGTCCAGCTTTTCTAAATACTCCTTAACCTGTTCTTTCACCACTGAGGGCTGCTCACCTCCTCCATATACTGTGCTGCCCAGTGCAGCAGTATAGGAGCTGACTTTGTCTGTGAAGACCAAGGCAAAAAAAGCATTGAGTACTTCAGCTTTTTGTACATCATCTGTCACTAGCTTGCCTCTCCCATTCAGTAAGGGTCCCACACTTTCCCTGAGCTTCTTCTTGTTGCTAACATACCTGTAGAACCCTTCTTATTATCCTTCTCATCCTTTGCTAGCTGCAACTCCAGTTGTGCTTTGGCCTTCCTGATTACACCCCTGCATGCTCGAGCAATATTTTTAAACTCCTCCCTAGTCATCTGTCCGAATTTCCACTTCTTGTAAACTTCCTTTTTTTGGTTAAGCTCATCAAAGATTTTGCTGTTAAGCCAAGCTGGTTGCCTGCCATATTTGCTATTATTTCTGCACATCAGGATGGTTGATTCCTGCGCCCTCATTAACACTTTTTAAAATACAGCCAGCTCTCTTGGACTCCTTTCCCCCTCATATAAACCACCCATGAGATCCTGCCCATCAGTTTCCTGAGGGAGGTAAAGTCTGCTTTTCTGAAGTCCAGGGTCAGTATTCTGCTGCTCTCTTTTCTTCCTTTTGTCATGGATCTTGAACTTGACCATCTCATAGTCACTGCTACCCAGGTTGCCACCTACTTCTACTTCCCCTACCAATTCTTCCCTGTTTGTGAGCAGCAGGTCAAGAGAAGCATGGCCCCTAGTCGGTTCCTCCAGCACTTGCACCAGGAAGTTGTCCCCAACACTCTCCAAAAACTTCCTGGATTGTCTGTGCACTGCTGTATTGCTCTCCCAGCAGATGTCAGGGTGATTGAAGTCCCCCATGAGAACCAGGGTCTGTCATCTGGAAACTTCTGTTGTCTGAAGAAAGCCTTGTCTACCTCATCCTCCTGTTCTGATGGTCTATATAGCAGACGCTCACCACAACATCACCCTTCTTGCTCTCACCTCTAAACTTAACTCAAAGACTTTCAAAAGGCTTTTCTGCAGTTTCATACTGGAGCTCTGAGCAGTCATACTGCTCTCTTTCATACAGTGTAACTCCTCCACCTTTTCTCCCCCGCCTGTCCTTCCTGAACAGTTTATACCCATCTGTGACAGTGCTCCAGTCATGTGAGTTACCCCACCAAGTCTCTGTTTTTCCAATCACATCATAGTTCCTTGACTGTGCCAGGACTTACAATTCTTCCTGCTTGTTTCCCAGTCTTCTTGCATTCAAGTACAGGCACCTAAGGTAACTAGCCAATTGCCCTACTTTCTCAGTGTGTATCAGGAGGCCTCCCCTGTTGCAACCTCCTCCTTGTGTTTCCTCCCAGTATCCCACTTCCTCACTTACCTCAGGGCTTAGGTCTCCATCCCCATGTGAATCTAGTTTAAAGCTCTCCTCACTAGGTTAGCCAGCCTGCCTTTGAAGATGCTCTTCCCTCTCTCTGGTTGGAGAATCCCATCTCTTCCTTGCAATGCTTCTTCCTGGAACAACATCCCATGGTCGAAGGATCCAAAGCCCTCTCTCTGACACCACCAGCGTAACCACGCAATTATTTCCACAATACAATGTTCATTACCTGGCCCTTTTTCTTCAACAGGGAGGGTGGATGAGAACACCACTTTGCACCTCAAACTCCTTTATCCTGCTTCCTAGAGCCACATAGTCTGCAGTGACTTGCTCAAGGTTATTCTTGACTGTATCAGTGGTGCCCATGTGGAGAAATAGGAAGGGGTAGCAGTCTGAGGGCTTGATCATTCTTGGCAGACAGTCCATCACATCCTGAATTCTACCTCCAGGAAAGCATCACACTACTCTTGTTTCCTGGTCTGGATGGCAGATGGGTGACTCGATCCTCCCTAGGAGGGAGTCCCCAACCACCACCGCCCGTCTCCTCCTCTTGGGAGTGGTGGTCATGGAACCCCCATCCTTAGGACAATATAACCCATGCCTTCTGATTGATGGGGTCTCCCTCTGTTCTCTTCCCTCTGATGACTCTTCCATTCTCCGATGTAATACCTGTACAGAGAGACTGAAAACAGTGTCTTGCCTCTTTCTGCATTGGGGGTACATGGGTTCTCCTCTTTCTTCTTCTGGAGGTCACATGCTGCCAATGTTCTTCCCGTTCTGCACGGCCCTCTCTGATTCTTCTGCATGCTGTGCCAGCAGTAACAAAAGCTCACTTCTAGCCATCAAGTATAACTGGGATATATGATTTCTTTACCCTCTAAACCAGGTCCTTTCCTGTCTTGGGGGAATGTCCCAATTGTCCCTCTATTTGAGCTGGGAACAACAACCCCATCTCTGCTAAATGCTTAAAAAACAGCAGCTGTCACATGTCTACACTCGTCTATCTGACATATCACAACAAGCTAAGTTAGACAGGCTTTGTCTGGAGATAGAGAAACAGAACTGGCCCAACTTACATTCTTTTGGGAATCCACGGAGCTCTTGGGACCCAGCCTAGTTTCCCAGTGTCTCTGAGAGCATCTTCCCACCTGTTTGCCCCTTTCTTGTGGAAGCAGCCTTTGCTGAAACCTCTGTGAGCCTGCGCCCAGTCACCATAGTGCTCAGCTGAGGCCATGTTACAGGGTCAAGGTGTGAAGCTGACCTCTGCCCTCAGACTGCTTTCTCCCAGACAGATCGTCAAGATGAGGCCCCCATGGCCATTGTATTTATCCCTCTGTGAGGCAGGGCAGGCCTATTATCCACCTGTGCAGGGGCTCAGAGACAGCCAATGGATTGCCCACGGTCACACACAGCAATGGAATCAAATCCAGATCTGTTGAGTCACAGAGCAGTGCTCAGACCAGCCTTCCAGCCATCTGAGCAGTGAAAGGCCCGGCTGGATTCACTGCAGCACCAGCAGAGCTCCCCTTCACGGTGTGCTCTGTTGCAGTGGGTTCATTCTTGAGGCTGTTCTCCCCCTGCCACAGAGCAGTTTAGAGCACCCTGGGGGCTGGGCTGACCTCTGCCTGGTGGTAACGGCTTCCAAGAGCACAGCCCACTCTGGCCAAGTCCCTGCACATGGGTGCCACCCCAGAGTGCCCCCTTGTGGCCTGAGGTAGCCCTGCAGGCGCCCTGCCCTTTCCTATAAGGTCATTACCATGACTTATTCGCAGCCTGGAATACTTTATAAAAAGAGCGCCCTTTATGAGGTCACATTAATTCAGTCTTCTCCAAAACACGAGGTCTCCTAACCTCCGGCCCCACCCTCCTCCTATACCCAGGAGCCCCCTACCACCCTGCTTTCTGGCATCAGTATTGGTTCAGGCTTGCTGCACCCTCTACTCCTCCTTTTCCCCTGAGGCCAATCTCCCTTCCCCCTCTCTTCCCCTAAGTCCCTGCCCCTTGCTCCCCCACTTCCCCTGAGGCTCCGCCGCCCAGCCAGGCTAGTGCTGGGCCATGGTAAGAGCGGCCCAGGAAGCCCAGGCCACTGTGGGGAGCCCCAGACTCTTATCTTCCCTGGGGGGTGCCTCCTGGGAGGCAGGGAAACAGGATTGGGGCTGCTCTTGGGCCCTTCAACCCCCTGACCAGCGCAGGTGGAAGGTCTGGGGCTCCTCACAGTGGCTCACTGTGCAGCTTTTATGATAGTCGGGATCTGGCTTCCAGCCGGGCCAGTAAGCAGAGCCTTGGGGGAAGCGGATGAGCAGGGGGCAGAGCCGCGGGGAGAAAAGATGTGGCAGGAGCCTCAGGAGAAGAGGAGAAGCAGGAGTGTGGGTCACAGTGGGGGCTCCTGCCTCTGACTTGCTTCTGTCTTGTGAAAAGGTGGTCACCTTACACTGCATGGGCTGGGTGGGGCTAGGAACCAGCTGTGCCTCTGTGGGGGAGCTGAGGCCTGTTTCCACCACTCTGCGAGCAACTGGGGCCAGGGAGGGAACCTGGGTCTGCGTCTCTTACCAGGACTCCTGTGTGTCAGTCCCTCATTCACACATCCAGCTCTGCTCTGCCTTGGGAGCATTACAGTTGGATGAGGTGGGCTCAGTAGATGTGCAGTGTACAGAGCCATCAATGGGGGAGGGGCTGCCTGAATGGAGTCTCTTGGGGCTCCTGCATTAATTATGTCTCTGACACGACTCAGTCACAAGCACCTGGCTGAGGGTGTAGGGGAAGATGGGTGTCTATGCCCAAATAATAGCCCCTGTCCACAGCTGGTGCAGTCCCATGGATCACGAAGCACCCAGAGCGCTCAGGAAGGGCCAGGACTGTGACTGCAGAACAGCTCCACAGCTTTTTTCATGGCCCGTGGATGTTTAACCACAGACGGGACAGTGACAGGCCAGGTGTAATGGAAAACAACATCCACATCCCTTCTCTTTATTGACTGTATCAACAAGAATTCTGAGGTCAGAGCAGCCACCGACATGGATCATTATGGGCCAACATCCCACCAGTCCCCTGGTTCTCCACAAACACAGTCACTCTGTAAATGCTGCTGCCTGGCTTGGTCTCCTTCTACCAATTCACTGTCCTCCCTCACCATCCCCTCTCTTATTCCTCCAGGCCTTAGATCCCTTCTGAATCTCTCTCTACAGTGTTAAAATCAGTAGCTCATGTTGTCTCAGATGTAAGCATCTAGGATGGAATAGGTGGTCTGTGTTTTTCATCTCCCGTGTCAACAGTGCTAGAGCCGGGTGACGAAGTTACACTTCACTTGATGAACACCCTAATTATCCTCGCACGAAGGTGTTTGCTTTTCACGCTGTACACGATTGGGTTCATAAGGGGCGGAACCAGCAGGTAGACATAGCCCAGGAGAATCTGAAGCAAGGGAGGAGAGCTCTTCCCAAATCTGTGTAACACAGAAAGGCCGATCATTGGTGTGTAGAAGAGCAGGACAGCGCAAAAGTGGGAGACACAGGTGTTCAGGGCTCTGACGCGCTCCACATGAGACGCAATGCTCAGCACTGTTTTGAGGATCATCACATAAGATAGGAGGATGAGCAGTGAGTCCAACCCCACTGTGGAGACTATTATGAACAAGCCATAGATGCTGTTGATTGTGATATCTGAACAAGCCATCTTCATGACTTCTTGGTGCAGGCAGTTGGAATGGGAGAGGACATTGGCTCGACAGTATCGGAACCGATTCAGGAGAAAGGGGAGTGGGAATATTAAGGCCACCCCTCTTAGCACACACACCAGTCCCATCTTGGATATTCTTGGCAGGGTTAAGATAGAAACATATCTCAGGGGGTCATGGATCGCAACAAAGCGGTCAAAGGCCATCACCAAAAGCACGGAGGATTCAATGAACGAAAGTGTGTGGATGAAGAACAGCTGTGCAAAACAGGCATTGAGGCTGATCAACTTGGAGTTAAACCAGAATATGCCCAGTATCGTGGGTATGGTGGCTATTGATAAACCAAGGTCTGTGAGGGCCAACATGGAAAGGAAAATGTACATGGGCTCATGGAGGCTTGGATCTGTTTTTATAATGAAGAGAATGAGTGAATTTCCTACTATTGAAATAACATACATTAAGCAGAAGGGGATAGAGATCCAGAGATGGACGTCTTCCTGGCCAGGTATCCCGGTGAGAAGGAACACTGCAGATTTGAATTTGGTGTCATTGACAGCTGACATAATATATTGGGCAGGTCCAAGGAGTTTTGAAGTTTCCTTCCTAAAAGAAAACAAGAACAGGAGACTAGATGATATAGAATCATAAAAGATTAGGGTTGGAAGGGACCCGAGAAGGTCATCTAGTCCAACCCCCTGCTCAAAGCAGGACCAATCCCCAACTAAATCATCCCAGCCAGTTCTTTGTCAAGCCTGACCTTAAAAACCTTTCAGGAAGGAGATTCCACGACCTCCCTAGGTAACCCATTCCAGTGCTTCACCACCCTCCTAGTGAAATAGTGTTTCCTAATATCCAACCTAGACCTCTCCCACTGCAACTTGAGTCCATTGCTCCTTGTTCTGTCATCTGCCACCATTGAGAACAGCCGAGCTCCATCCTCTTTGGAACCCCCCTCCAGGTAGGTGAAGGCTGATATCAAATCCCCTCTCATTCCTCTCTTCTGCAGACTAAGCAAGCCCAGTTCCCTCAGCCTCTTCTTGTACGTCATGTGCCCCAGCCCCCTGATAATTTTCGTTGCCCTCCGCTGGACTCTCTCCAGTTTTTTCCACATCCGTTCTGTACTGGGGGCCCAAAACTAGACACAATACTCCAGGTGTGACCTCACCAGTGCCGAATAGATGGGAATAATCACTTCCCCTGATCTGGTGGCAATGCTCCTACAAATGCAGCACAGTATGCCTTTAGCCTTCTTGGCAACAAGGGCGCACCGCTGATACATATCCACCTTCTCATCCACTGTAATCCCCAGGTCCTTTTCTGCAGAACTGCTGCTTTGCCAGTTGGTCCTCAGCCTGTAGCAGTGAATGGGATTCTTCCGTTCTAAGTGCAGGACTCTGCACTTGTCCTTGTTGAACCTCATCAGATTTCTTTGGGCCCAATCCTCCAATTTGTCTAGATTACTCTGGATCCTATCCCTATCCTGCAGTGTATCTACCTCTCTCCCCAGCTTAGTGTAATCTGCTAACTTGCTGAGGGTGTAATTTATCCCATCATCCAGATCATTAATAAATATTTAACTAGATATCTTTCTGCTCTCCGTGCAAGTCAAGAAAGTCCCAGGGGCTCAACATAGATCAGCAAAAACATAGTCTTGGATTAACAGCACTGATAGGAAGACAGGCATTGCCAGAATGGATCAGACCTGTAGTCCATCTATCCCAGTATCCAGTGGCAAGTTCCAAATGCTTCAGAGGAAAGTAAAAGATGCCCTGCAACAGGCAGCTATGAGACAAGCTGCTCCCAGGGAAAGTCTCCCCTGACACCCACTAGTTGGACATATTCTGTGGTATAAAACAGGAAGGTTTAGAGCACTTCCAATACTTTTTTCAAGTAATCCTCACTACTGTAGTTCCATTTTCTGGTTACCAATATAAACATCCAGTTCCTCTTTGAATCCTGCTAAACTCTTGGCCCCGTTGATAACTTGTGGCTGGGAGTTTCACAGCCTACTTGAGCACTGTGTGATTTTACAGTTATGACCTTCACACAGACTCGCTTTCTGGCCCTGCACTTCTGAGTGTGGCCCATTGTATCATGCCATGGCAAGTGCATAGTGGAAACAGTCATTGTATTTATCTTTGCAGCACTACCCAGTGGACAGTTTCAGATGCTACAGTGGAAGGTCGAAGAAGCCCTGCAATAGGCAGCTATGAATAACCTGCTCCTAGGGAAAGTTTCCCCCTGACACCCACTAGTTAGACATATTTTGTGGTGTGAATCAAGAATATGCATAGCCCTTCCAAGACTCTTTTTTTTTTAAATCCTCATGACTGTAGTTTTCTGGTTACCCATATAAACATCCTGTCGGTCTATGAATCCTGCTAAGCTCTTGGCCCCGTTGATATCTTGTTGCTGGGAGTTCCACAGGCTACATGAGCACTGTGTGATTTTACAATTGTGACCTTCACACAGACACCCTTTCTGGCTCTTAATTTCTGAATGTGGCCCATTGTACCATGACAGGTGTATAAACACATGGCAAGTGCACGGTGAAAACGGTCATTATATTTTTCTGTCCTGCACTGAAGCTATTTATAAATGTGTTTCATTGCCTCATTATATATATTCTTTATTTGCTCCTTTGCAGTACATGGGATACATTCTTAGGGCCAGGTTCTGAATTCAATAACAGTGACTTCAATGGCATCACTCCAGATTTACATGTGTAAATTAGATCAGAATCTGTCTTTGTTAATTTACCCTTACCAAATGCTCCCGATGATACCCTCTGACCCACAAGAATCCCTCCAAGAGAAGCTGAAGTGATTTACCTGGGTAGCGTTGGCTGAATCCAGAGAGTTTGATCATCCTATAAGTGTCTCTTCATCCTCACAGGACCTGCATCCTCTCCCCATGCAAGGGTCTGTAGGTATCTGGTAAGATACAAGCTCACACAGACAGTTACTTCAGCTGGGTAGGGGAAGGGTTGGTGTCACAAAAGGGTGAATAGTGCAAACACTAATTTTGCACTTTAATACAGTTGAGTGTGCAAGTTATTTCAGCCATATTTGTGTATCAGGTGATTGAAGTAAATTATTTATAACCATTATTACACTCCCCTTTCCTGCACCTCAGCTCTACTCTTTCCTGAAACACAGACCACTGGTTCTGTTCTTGCAGGAGCAAATACGCCTGAGGTGATTTGGGAAGTATTTACTGATATTCCATGGGATCTCCTCTTATTCAGCCCCTGGCAGGATCGGGCCCAGAGCACTCGGCACCTCTAGAAATGGGAGCCCTTAAAAATCCGGACTCGGGGCATCCAGGTTTTAACACTCCAAGCTGACTTTGAATCTTAGATTTCTGTGTTGCTTGAGTAATCCACCAAGGACAATGGGGACATGTAGCAGAGGGTTTCCCAAGCTACCTAATGCTGCCTGCCCTCTACCCCCATCACTCCAACAGCCCAGATCTGTCACGGCACAGAACATCAGCAAATGGAAACAGCTTTCAGCTTTACCCTTCACTTCGCATTTAAAAGATAGTGAAACCTGCCAACGTACCCAATTCCTGCTAGAAGGGGAGCCGCTGACACTAGAGGTCTTCAACCTAAAGGACAAGGAGTCATTGGAGAGGTTTCTCAGGCACCAGGCAGTATCTGTTCAGATAGGAAGGGAACTGTCTTTAAGAAGCATGTTTGCACATTCCCTTGGGAGCCACTTGGTCATCAGGGAACCTCTGCTCCTTTGTTTAGTATGCACCATGTTTAACGCCCCTCACAGCCACTATCAAACTGCAGGAGGGCAAATCGCAGCAGATGCATGGTGATGTTTCCCAATTGGACTGCAGCACCAGCCCTGCTGCAGGCTCTATTCCTGGAGTCTGGGCTTGGCATCACTGTTTGTATCGTTCCGATTAGTCACATGGCTACCTCGCGGACAACCAAGTAGTAACGATGATCACAGCTGTGATCTTGTTGAAATAAAATAAAATCGAATAATAATAATAATATAGGATGAGATTTCTCCCCGGCATCCCCCTTTCCTGCATTACAAACCCAGGGCGCAGGCCATTGAAGGGAGATTCTTCAAGGCTCCGTACACTGAAATTTCCCTCTTCTCTTTTCAGTAGAAGAGGTCCCTTCCCTTCTCCCTGAGGAATAAACAGACGGCCACAGGTTCCCCAGGGAGATATTTTTGAGATTTTTAAGAGAAGGTTAGACAAACACCTGTCAGGTATGGTCTAGATAATACATAGTCCTGCCATGAGCGCAGGGGTCTGGACTAGAGGACCACTTGAGGTCCCGTCCAGTCCTACAATTCTCCCTGAGGAATAACAGGGAGCCCCAGGATCCAGGGGGGCCCAAAGTTATGCACAGATCTTAGTGCTCCACCAACCCACAGTCTCTGTGCCTCCACAACTGTTCTAGGACCCTCTCCAGCTCCCTGCTAGTACAGGTTCATCAGAGATGTGCTACCAGGGCCTGTCACAGTAGCCACTGCCCACAGGATCTGCTGAAGGGGGTGTTAGAGTGGCTGATGGTCACAATACCCCAGCTATAAAATGGGGGGGGAGGTCTCAACCTTTCCATTCCCAGAGTGCAGCCATAGACTCAGTCAGTGCAACCTTTTTTTGTTACGAGGAAGAGGCAGAAGAAAAGCCTCCAATTTCTCTTGGGGATGCAGGCAGCTGCAGCTGGGCAGCATCCTGGCAACTGAACTTTCAGAGAAAAATAATCCATTTTCTATCAAAACTCACCCCAAAAATAATGGATCATAGAATCATAGAATATCAGGGTTGGAAGGGACCTCAAGAGGTCATCTAGTCCAACCCCCTGCTCAAAGCAGGACCAATTCCCAACTAAATCATCCCAGCCAGGGCTTTGTCAAGCCGGGCCTTAAAAACCTCCAAGAAAGGAGACTCCACCACCTCCCTAGGTAACGCATTCCAGTGCTTCACCACCCTCCTAGTGAAATAGTGTTTCCTAATATCCAACCTAGACCTCCCCCACTGCAACTTGAGACCATTGCTCCTTGTTCTGTCATCTGCCACCATTGAGAACAGCCGAGTTCCATCCTCTTTGGAACCCCCCTTCGGGTAGTTGTAGGCTGCTATCAAATCCATGAAAAAGGAAACATTTTAGTTTGGGTCAAAATTTGTATGGGGGAAAAAAACAATGTTTTCCAGCCCAACTCAGGCTCAAACCATGAGGTGGCAGCACTAGCCCCCCCATTAGCCTCCCACATTGAGCAGCTCCTGGAAGTCTGCTAGGGTGGGGCTATGCCAGCTCTGAAACAGAGGGGGTTTCTAGCCGTTAGAGCTTTAGAGACACCCAGAGCATGGGGCTGCGTCCCTGACCATCTTGGCTAATAGCTATTGATGGTTGTCCTCCATGAACTTATCTAATTCTTTTTTGGATCAGTTATACTTTTGAAATTGCACAACATCCATTGACAATGAGTTCCACAGGTTGACTGTGTGTTGTGTGAAAAAGTGCTTTCTTTTTTTTTGTTTTAAACGTGCTGCCTATTAACTTTATTGGGTGAACCCTGGTTCTTGTGATGGGATAAATAACACTTCCTTATTTACTTCTTCCACATCACTCATGACTTTATAGACCTCTATCATATCCCCCATTTGTCGTGTTTTTTCCCAGCTGAACAGTCCCAGTCTTTTTAATCTCTCTTCACCTGGAAGCTGTTCCATACCCCTTAAACTTTTTTGTCACCATTCTCTGAATGTTTTCAAATTCAAGTATAATTTTGTGAGATGGGGCAACCAGAACTGCACACAGTATTCAAGGTGGGGGTATACCATGGGTTTATATAGAGGCAATATATTTTCTGTCTTTTTATCTATGCCTTTCTTAATGGTTCCCAACATTGTGTTGGCTTTTTTGACTGCTGCGGCACATTGAGTTATGTTTTCAGAGAAGTATCCACAATGATTCCAAGAGCTCTTCCTTGAGTGGTAACAGCTAATTTAGACCCCCTCATTTTATACGTATAGTTGGGATTATGTTTTCCAATGTGCATTACTTTGCACTTATCAACACTGAATTTCATCAGCAATTGTATTGCCCAGTCACCCAGCTTTGTGAGATCCCTTTGTAACTCCTAATAATCAGCTTTGGAGTTAACTATCTTGAACAGATTTTTTTTTATCATCTGAATATTTTGCCACCTCACTGTTTACCCACTTTTGCAGATCATTTATGAATATGTTGAATATGACTGGTCCCAGTACGGATCTCTGTGAGACACCACTATTTAGCTCTCTCCATTCTGAACACTGATCATTTATTCCTATCCTTTGTTTACTATCTCTTAACCAGTTACTGATCCAGGAGAGGACCTTCCTTTTAACCCCATGACAGCTTATTTTTCTTAAGAGCCTTTGGTGAGGGACCTTGTCTAAGGCTTTCTGAAAGTCCGTTACACTATATGCCCTGGATAACCCTTGCTCATATGTCTGTTGACCCACTCAAAAATTCTAATAGATTGGTGAGGCATGATTTCCCTTGGAAAAGCTGTGTTGATTCTACCCCAACAAATCATGTTCATTTACTTGTCTGATAATTCTGCTCTTTACTATAGTTTCAACCAATTTGCCTGGTTCCGAAGTTAGGCTTACTGGCCTGTATTACCAGGATCACCTCTGGAGCCTATTTTAAAAATCAGCATCACGTGAGCTATCTGCCAGTCCTTTGGTACAGAGGCTGATTTAAGTGATAGGTTACATACTACAGTTAGTAGTTCTGCAATTTAGTTGGGAATTGGTCCTGCTTTGAGCAGGGGGTTGGACTAGATGACCTCTTGAGGTCCCTTCCAACCCTGATATTCTATGATTCTATGAATTTGGTATTTGAGTTTCATCAGAACTCTTGGGTGAATCCTATCTGGTCCTCGTGATTTAATACTGTTTAATTTAACAGTTTGTTCTAAAACCTCCTCTACTGACACCTCAACGTGGGACAGTTTCGCACATCTGTTACCTAAAAAGAATAGCTCAGGTGTGGAAATCTCCCTCACATGCTTTGCAGTGAAGACCAATGCAAATAATTCATTTAGCCTCTCCGCAACAGCCTCATCTTCCTTGAGTGCTCCTTTAGCATCTCACTCATCCACTGGCCTCACTGATTGTTTGCAAGGCTTACTGCTTCTGATGTACTTTGAAAAAAATTGTTATTCTTTGTGAGTTTTGCTAAATGCCCATCAGTTATTTTGAACTAGGTATGCAATATTGTCAAGCCCATTCAAAAATTATGAATCACTCCCCCTAAAAATCATGAGATTGATTTAAAATTCATGAGATTTAAAAATATACTTATATGATTTTCTTTTTCATTTGCCATTGGTTTCTGATCCTTTGGGGTCACCTGCTTCAGGTTTTCTAGATTTTCTGCTATTCACTTTTTAAAAGAAACTTTTTAAAGAAAACTAAAAGCAGATATTCATGCAGTGTCTTGATTTCAAAAGTTACGGCTAAGGAAGGCAGGTTTTCTAATATTTAATCAATCTCATGGCTCTTCTCTGAACCCTCTTCAGTGTATCAACATACTTCTTGAACTGTAGCCACCAGAACTGGTCACAAAATTCCAGTAATGGTCACACCAGTGCCAAATACAGAGGTAAAATAACCTCTCTGCTTTTACTCGACATTCCCCTGGTTGGACATCCCAGATTGTCCCATAGTGCCACACTGGGAGCTCATGTTCAGCCGATTATGACTCTCCAGTCTTTTTCAGAGTCACTGCTTCTGAGTTTTGGGTCCCCCATCCATTAAGGATGGCCTGCATCCCTTGTTTCAAGATGGAAACCTCTACATTGAGCCATGTGAAAACACATATTGCTGCAG